CCTAGGAGTGTAACTGCTGGGTCCATGGCAACTCTATGTTTACCTTTCTGAGGAAGCGCCGAACTGTTTCCCACGGCAGGCGCACCGTCGTCCGTTCCCAGCAGCAGCGTGTGAGGCGGTGCTTGCCCCACAGCCTGGCCAACTGCGTTATCTGACTTTTTGATTCTGGCCAACCTACCGGGTGGGAAGTGGCATCCCTTTGTGGCTGTGATTTGCATTTCCCCATGGCTAATGATGTTCGGCATATTTTCATGAGCTTTCTGACTGTTTGTGCATCTTCTATGGAGAAATATCTTGTCAGATCCTTCACTCATTTTTTAATAGGGTTATTTGACTTTTATTATTAGTGAAAAGTCTTTATATATTCTAGATTCGTCTCTTATCAGATGTATGATTTGCAAATATTTTCTCTTATTCTTTGGAAAAACAGTGTTTCTTAAAGAGAATTTGGCCTTTAAAATATTCCTACCCAGAAGTTCTATTTCTACAGTGGGAAATAATCCAGGATAAGGCCAAAGTTTTAGAGACAAGGATATGCATTACAGATTTCTAAAAATATAGTAAGGACAATTATAAAATAAAATAAAAATATTACTCTATGCAAATTATCTAAGTATATAAAATTTAATGAGAAAGAATAAATTCTTTCATCCTACGATTATTAATTGCTTAATAAATCATGGTATATACATACAAAGGAAAAAATGTGCAGCCAATTAACTTTATGGTGTAAAATAATCTCAATGCTATCAAAATACTATCTTTAAGGCAATGAAAAAGTATTTATTACATACTCAAATGAAAAAGGATATTACAAAATAGGTTGTAAAGCTTGCTGTAATTTGTGCGTGTGTGTGGTATGTGTATGTGGAACATACATAAAAACACCGACAGTAATTATATATGCATCCATTCATTCATTTCTTCGTTGATTCTTTCTACAAACACTTATGGAACGACAGACAGGACACTAGATTAAGGTTGCAATCATGAAAAAGGCAGACATGGTCCCTGCCCTCAGGACGTGCATAGTTTGGCAGGAAAGACAAGCATGTAGTGCAAACATACTTCTCATGTTGTAATCCCCCAGCTTAACACTTTTCAACAGCTCCCGCTGCTCTTAAGATAAAGTCAGCATGTTAACCTGTGTGCAAAGCTCCGGATGATCTGGCCCTCGCCCAGCTCTCTGACAGTCCCTCCCGCCACCACCTCTCGAACTCATTTGAAAAGCCACGCTCCTTCCCGCCTGGGCCTTCAAAGCGTTCCTTCTGACTGGAGGCGTTTCAGCAGAGGACCCTGCTTCTCTTGTAGGCCTCAGCACAAGGGTCCCTTCATAAGGAACTTCCCCTGATCTCTCCATGACGAAAAGTCTCTACTAATATGGGCTCTTTCAACACTGTCACAACTGTCGTTAGATGGTTAATTTGGTATTTAGTATTTAATACCATGAGCTACCTGAGGGAGATCAGATTCTCTTTTTCATCATTCTGTAATTTTACAATAGTTCTTAATGGCAATGTGACCATACACAAAACAAAGACCTTAAAATACTTAGCGTAATGAGTTAGTATTGAATAAGAAGATTCTATGCACCAGGCACTATGCTAAATTTAGACCGGTAAATCTATTTGTGTCTTAAAGGAAAATGTGAGAAAGCATGTGAAGATTTATTTATAAAAATATTTCTTAGCAGAGAGTCATTTAGAACAACACAGAAATAGAAACAACTTGAATATCCAACAATTGGGGATTAAAAAATTTGTGGGCATGGCTGTGCAATGGAATACAATGCAGGCACTTAAACTGATGGGAAGAGAAGATTCAATGACATGAAAAAGTCACCATATCATTTCTTAAGAGCAACGGACAGCTATGGAACCATATCCATGTCATGGGGTAAAAATTACTTGAAAAATCAGGATTATTAGTGAAATTCTCCATTTATCCCAAAACTTTAGAGTTACTACAAGAAAAATAAGCCTTTAGTTCTATTCTCTGAAGAAGCACTTCTCTCACTTCCTTAAAAGGAGGGGAGGTAGATTTCCTTCGTTAAACCAGAAGTCATCGGCCTGCCAGGACAGACACAAAGGCTGCACAGGCACAGCCTGGATGTGGGCTGGGTGTGCCCACACTGGGTGCAGGGTGTGGAGGGGCAGCCGGGGCTGTCTGTGCGAGCAAAATGAGGTGGGCTGTGGCTTTGTAGGCATCTGCTGCATGGAGAGCCAAGCATGGACTAAGACTTCCAAGCCCGACGGTCCAGGTGGAAAAAAGTGATACTTAACCTCAGCGCTTGTAGGCGATGCGTGCCACCAATCTAGGAAGAAAATGAAGCCATTTTAACGTTTAGCATTTAGCATTTTAGTAGATCCTAAGTAGATCCTTTAGTAGCATTAAGTAGATCCTTTTAGTAGATCCGTTTTCAATTCCATGGTCATTAGTTGGACAGAGAAAGGTAGATGCTTGTCCTTACTGTGGAAGGCCCTTGACCCTCTCGATGTGCACTGGGAATGGCCGAGGAGGCGAGGGTCCACAGCCCTTCCCAGTGAACTGAGCACTGAATATTTTCAGTACCCCATAAATAACACTAGGGGGTGGCTCTCTCCGAGGGAAGGAATTCTTTAGCAGACAAATATTTGTAGGTGGGTACTCGGCCCTGTTTCTAAAATGGTCACATTCTCCATGGGATGACTAGGACAGTCGTCTTCATGTGAAATCAGCAGAGGCCACAGGGGCTGTCCAGCCTGAGCTCAGTGAGAGCAATGGTTCTGGGGACTCGGCTGGTCACCAGAACCAAGTCCAGGCCGTTGAGGAGAAATCATTGCCCAGGAGGAGGCTGCCCCTCTCCTCCTCGCTCTGGAAACCTGACAGAGCAGAATTCCAGGGAGGACTCTGACTGAGTCAGGCGGCTGCGACTCACCTGGGATAGTGGAAGAGATTAGAGCATCTGTAAGACAGAGAGGAAACGAGTCAGCCTCTGAGCCCAGGACATGTGGGAACAAGTCCCCTGGGATGCTAAGAAGGAGAAATGCCTGTCCCTCCACCACTGAGAAGGGCTTCCTGGGTGTTGGCCAGCAGACCTGAAGAGGAGACATATGTCTCAGGGGACAGTCTCCACAAAGAGATGTTGGGGAATTTGAGCTTATACCTTCATGTCCATTAAGCCCTCTCTGCTCCGGTGCCACCTACGGAAGATGCTGCAGCCCACCCAGAACGTTCAGGGACAGCAAGGGCTATCGGTGAAGTGATCAGGGAAGCTGCCACCTTCCAGCGAAGCTCAGAGTGAGAGGAGATCCTGAAAGAGGTGCCAAGTGGAGAAAATCACACATTAGAATAGAGGCCCAGTATCTTGGAGGACCACCTGAGCAGGGATGCTGGAATCCTGCCCATGACCACAGTTGTGCGAGAGCCAGCAGTTAATTAATTACCCCATATGTAGTCCAAATGAATGCACCCACCATGGGGTGAAGGTGGACCATTATCCAATTGCAAAGCTGTGCCCTGAAAAGCAAGCAGGGAAAGGAGCAGAGACGTAATATCCAGCCCAGGTCTAAGGATGCCCAGATGAGGGGAAACACTGCTTGAGGCCCGATGAAGGCGAGCAGTAATGGAACCCCCAAGCCACACTGAGCACCCCCTGGGGTAGAGCCGCATGGGGACCAGTGGCAGACCAAGGTCGTGACAGCGTTTGGAGCTTGTGGTCCCCTGTGTGGTCCTTCCTGGGTTCTCCCAACGGCCAGGAGATCAACGAAGCTGGGCCAGATGCCTGTGGTACAGGCATTCTCCACGCCTCTTCCCAGAACGGCAGCCCGTCGCCTGACAGCCAGGAGCCAGGTCCTGGCAGTACTCCCGAGGACTCCCGGGCTTCCCCTGAGATCCCAGAGGTGGCCCTTTACCGAGCATCGGGACAGGGAGCCTGCTCGAGACAGGTGGCTGGCCCCTCAAGATCAGACCGAGGCCATGGGCTTGAGAGCCTCCTCCCTCTGTCCCGCTCCACCTACAGTGCCAACGATAAGCAAGGGCACACCCTGAACCTCCTCCCATCACTCTCCCACCCAAAATGGACCCTGAAGCAGAGAGGGAGCCCCAGGGAGTGCAGACAGGAAGACTGACCCAATGGCGATGCCACATCTCAGGTTGTTATGGGCCAGGGGGCTGGAAGTGCAACAGAGGGAAGGTAGAGTTACAAGTCATGTCAAGAAGGACTCAAAAAAGGCTTTGGTTGGCCTCATGACAACAGTCCCATGTGTGGAGCCCGCCACTTGCTGCCTGTGTGTGCCACACCAAGCCACCTGCTCAGTGACCCCCCCCTTGGGACCAAGGCCCTGCTGCACATCAGCCTGCTCCCGCCCCTCTCTAAGCCTGGCATGTCCTCTTTGCCGTGGGAAGACCTTTGCTGCTGCCCTCCTCTGCGTCATGGACTCGCTGGTGCTCCCGAGGGCATGCCCAGTATCTGCAGCTTGCACAGAAAAGTCAGGGGCTGCAGAGGGTGGACATTGAGCCCATCAGGTATCCTGCTACACGGAACCCATGACGACTCAGCCCCTTCCTATCCCTTGGGTACCATCCCTGACACTTTAGGATGCCAGTGGGACCCTGCTGGAACTGAGGGTGCTGCAAGGAGCGAGGGTTGGAGGGAATGCGGCCTGCTCCAACAGCCCACCAACAGAAGGCCAGCGGTGATCAACGTTCTCCTCCCACAAAAGCCCCCTCAGCCTGGGTGGTACCGGGGCAAAGGTCCCGGCACATGCGGCTGTTTCCCTGAGTTGCTTGTGACGCTACCAAAGTGTTGGAGGAAAGCTCGGATTGCCTGATGGGAAGACGAACGTCTTGGGAGTCCCATGATGAGTTAGGAAGCAGGTGTCGGGCGTCTTGGTGACAGAGGGGAAAAGCCACGTGACCCTTAGGTTCTGCCAAGAGCAGTGGTTCATCTAGAGTGAGGGGAAAAGGGACAGGTGGCCAGGGAGAACAGGGACTTCCTGACGAAGCCACTGGGTACTTACTCGGCAGGGCTGTGGTTGGGGGCTGAACAGCTGTGAGAAAGAGAAGGAAAGTCAGACCCAAAGAGCACAGGGGCCCCCCCGGACTCCAAGCTTGAGCAGACTCAGCGGGGATAGGCTGAGCTGCAGCTGCTCACGTGCCCCCCCGCGTGGACGCCGCCAGCCACCTGCCACGCAGCTCTCGGGGCCTCCGGGAGCTCCACCCTCTGTCCCACCCCCAAGGCCTGCCTGGCTGTGCCCAAGGGCTTCCTTCCCAGAAGAGGAAAGCCCCTTACCGTGCCCGGGACAGGCCACCCCGGCCGCGGCGTGACGCTCTCACGCGAGCAGCAAGGGGGGAGTCCCAGCAGCTCTGGAGGAAGACCCCTTTGCCGCAGCCCAGGGACAATGATTTGGAGACTGATTGAGGCATCCCCTAGTCTCTGCTCAGGATCGAGCTCCAGCTCCAGGGCCCTCACTGGCTCGTGGGCATTCTGTGCTGCAGGCACTTGCCATGCCCTACACCCCACCCCACTTCTCTGCTTCTCCTAGTGCCCTCCCCAAGTCACAGTCTAGCCACGAATCCTGTCCTCTGAGTTGGCTTCTGGCAGGACCCAAAGCGATGCTCCCATCAAGGAGTGAGGGCGCTCCACTGTCCAACCGCCCCTGCCAAAGCCGTGTGCCCCCAGAAGGAAGCCCCAGAGAAAACCAGGTGTGGACCCGGCAGTCCGTCCTGCCGAGAAGGCGGGGGCTCGCTTGGTCTGCCCACGCACGGCGCGGTGGACGCTCTCTGGGACCCACTGTGCGGTCATTGCTCCCAAGCAGTCCTGGTGCCTCACGGTTGGCCAAAGAGGAGAGATCGAGCTGTAGGGGCCAGCTGCCCCTAGGAAACCTCAGAGCTGCACAGGATCTCTGGGAGGGGCTGGGGTGGGGAGGGGCCCTGGAGTGGGACGTGCGGCCGTTCTCAGCAAACGTCCCGCCAGAAGCGGGTCCGGGGATCTCGGAGGCCCACCTGAGCAGACGACACCGGCATCCTCGTCGTGACCACAGTTGTGGCTGTTCCAGCCGTTGTGGGTGCAGCTCCACAGGTAGGACTCCTGGCCTGAGCAGCGCACGTCGTCCAGGACAATTGGCCCCGAGCCCTGACCGAAGTGGGCACTTCCTGGGGCTGACGTGACCCAGCCACAGCCCAGCTGCCGGCACACCACGTTGGCATCGTTGGTGTCCCAGTCGTCGTCGCACACGGTGCCCCATGAGCCTCGGTACAGGACCTCAACCCGGCCCTGACACCGGTCACCTCCGTTCACCAGCCTCAGGGCCAACCCTGATTCAGTCCCTAGGGGGAGCACAAGAACACCTCCTCTGTGTCTGGCTTGAGGACCCGGGCCTAAGGCACATTCCACACTCAGGGGAGATCCTCACAGCTTCATTTCCGGGGCCAGCTGCCACCTTGGCAGGTGCCCAGAGGGGAATCTTCTTCACAGGGAAAGGAGCAGAGACACACTGTGCAGCTGGGGTCTCAGGAGGCCCAAATAGGGAGAAGTACCCTGTGAGGGCCACTGGAGGTGGGCAGGAAGGGAACCCCCAAGCCACATTGGGCACCCCTTGGGGTGGAGCTCCGTGGGGATCGGTAGCAGGCCAAGCCCATCACCCTGTTTGGAGCTTGTTGACTCATGTGCGGTCCTGCCTGGGTTCTGCCAAGTCCCAGCAAACGAGGGGACCCGTCAAGAAGCCAGAGGTTGCTTGGTCTGCCCACGGGGCGGTGGACGCTCTCTGGGACCCACTGTGTGGCCATTGCTCCCAAGCATTCATGGTGCCCCATGGCTCGCCAAAGAGGAGAAGGGAGCTGAGCCCACCGTTCCCCCGGAGGCTGCGCAGTAGGGGCCAGCTGCTCCCAGGATCACGGGCGGCACAGGATCTCTGGGAGAGGCTGGGGTAGGGAGGGGCTCTGGAGTGGGAAGTGCATTTGTTCTCAGCAAAGGTCCCACCAGAAGGGGGTTTGGGGATCTCAGAGGCCCACCCGAACAGATGACACCGGCATCCTCGTGGTGACCACAGTTGTGGCTGTTCCAGTCGTTGTGGGCTCGGCTCCACAGGTTGGACTTGTATCCTGAGCAGCGCACGTCGTCCAGAAAAATATACCCTGAGCCCTCACCGAAGTGGGCACTTCCCGGGGCCAACATGGCCCGGCCACAGTCCAGCTGCCTGCACACCACGTTGGCATCATTGTTGTCCCAGTCGTCATCACACACAGTGCCCCACCAGCTTCGGTACAGGACCTCCACCCGGCCCTGACACGGGTCACCTCCATTCACCAGCCTCAGGTCCGAACCCGATTCGGTCCCTAGAGGAAGACACAGCATTCCTCTTGTAAGTTCCTAGTGAGAGACAAGGTCTCAGACCTCTAAAGAATTCCTAATTTTTCCCGTTACACAAAGATCCTTGAGAGAATCAGTAACTAGGTTGGATCCATAACATTCCTTGAATTAGGGTGCTTCACCGTTAAAGGTACAGTGACTGCTCTGCCAAAACCCAATCCACCAGAGCTGAAGGAAAAGAATACCTCTCAGGTGGATCCTGGAGAGGACCTGAAAACTATTCACAGGTTCCCTCACTGAGCACACATGGGCAGAGCTCCAACTTGCTTGAATCTGGGACGCATGAATGCTCATGCTGAAGAGTAGCCTGATGCCCCAGGATGTCATAGCAGGAGCGCTGACACTCGTCTGGGGCTCTGAGGTTGCTTAGAGAGCATTTCACCACTGGTCCTCTTGGCCCCACAGCCGGGTCTTTGGGGCCACTTTGGCCAGGGTCAGCACAGAGGTGTTCTGATGGGAGAACTGGCACTGTGGACAAGAGACGGATCCCACTGGACACTGAACCAAAGCACAGTGATTCTTGGAGACCCCATGTTCAGGCTGACCACTCCCCACAGGAGGATGGACCAAGAAGGAGGCTCCCACTCAAGCCAGGCTCCCTGGTTCACATGGGATGTCCCTTTGCACAACATGCTCACAACACTCACTCTCACCCCATCCCCTAAAAGTTTCCCTTGAATGAGAGCCACACCCTTGGTACACTCCGCATCATGAGCTTCAGAGAAGGACCCATATGAAACTATTCATTACCGACTGCAGCCGGAGTCTCAGTGCTTGTTATAGTAGTCCCTGCATATACAGATTGTAGAAGGGGAAAGAAACAGAAGCTACAAAGTGAGGACTCCTCTGAGGGACTCAAGGACCGAAAATAAAGTAGAATCTGCCAAGGAGATGTTACTTAGGCCTTGAATTTTATTTTGGTGTGTGACTTTGGAAAAGTCAAGAAACCCGTTTAGACTCGAGGTCTTCCACTCTAAAAGACTGTTTTTGGGGGCAATATCTCTGCGACAACATATGGACCCTGGCTCTGACCTTCCCACAGGGACCTATGCAGGGCTCCAGGGGTGGATACAAAAGACTCTTCCCATCCCGATGCTTCTGATTGATTTCTCTTGTCTAATCATTGGCTAGTACATATGGTATTGACATGTGTACCATCAGGATTCCCAGCTGATGCATGCTGACTCCTGGGCAGGGACCTTGGTGTGGAGGCTGTCCTTCCTCTTGTCCCAGGGCCAAAGATTCCCCAGGAGATGGGCAGTGACTTTCCTTCCCAAAGCTGAGTTGCCAGAACCTCAGGCTATATTGACTGTACCTCCCAGCGCTCCCACTACAGGCCCCCAGGGGGATGCCCGAGACCTCTGATGCCAACAAGCTGAAGGAACACGGGTCCTCTATGTTGAGAAGGAACCAAAGTGGCCTAATATGGGCTCAGGAAAGGGCACAGGCAAGGATGCTGGCCCAGCTGGTTTGCACCTGCCTTTCCAGGCCCTGCAGCCAGAGACCCAGCACCACAGCCCCGCCAGGGGTCAGCGTGCATCATTCAGACCACAGGCTGGGCACTGAGCATGGGTAACAGGACCTCCCTGGAGACAGGACTCCAACCTCCAGCCTGGACGTCCTTGGAGATGCCTCTGCTGCTTGATTCCTTCCCAACCTCAGGGACATTGTCCGTGGAAAGGATACCCATTCAGGCCTGAGGCCTTGTTCAGAGGGCCCCCCTTTGGGACCGGAGTACTCCCACCTCTTACACCTTTGGCACCCCTTCTGGATCAGAGATCACCTATGGGTGCAGTGGCATAATGAACCCAACAGGGATTCCATGAAACAAATGCCTTCCACAGCAGCTGTCGGTGGTGCCTCCGTGGAAATCAAGGAAACTACAAAACAGAGAAAAGAAGAGGTCATTCGATGCTGCCCCTCATTTGGGGAGGGCTGGCCCTCTGCTTCCTCAGCTCTAAAGCAAGAGGTGGATGCAGAGTTTCAGAAGCCCCGCCCACTCCTAAAAGGCTATGTTTCTTTCTTGTGAAACTCATCTCTTGGTCACTTTGCCAGCGCTCGTTCAATGCTGAGATGCCACCAGGGACATTCTTTGCTCCTGTCATCATCCTCCCACCCCCTCTGCTTCCACAGTCGCCATCCAAAAACTCACCCCGTTGATTAACATCCCCGCCTGATTCACAAGATTGGACTTCAAATACTAACCGCCTACTTCTGTGGCTCAAACACACCCTCAAATGACAAATGTCTACTGTCGCTGAGATATCCCTGAAAGGTGGTACCAACTAGGAAGGATGACAGTTTCCAAAAACGCATCCTCAAATGCTGAAATAAACCCGCTCCAAAGTGACAGCTTGGAGGGCCACATTCTCTTGGGGAGCCCATACTCCTGTGGTGGTTGGATTACCAGGGTCACATTCTACGCATGGGGGCGTGTGCACAGCCCAGGCCACATGGCAAATGCCAGACGTTGCTCTGAAGATGGACAATTTAACTAGAAACTGCCCCTTGGCGGACACACACCGGGCAGTATCCTCGGAGTTTCTTTGTGGCTTTAAGGACCCCTTGGTGCCCGAGCACCGACAGCACTCTGTGAACCAGGGAGGAATGCGGCACTGGGATTTGCTTGGTTGAGCCAGGGAGAATTTCTCTCTTCCGCTGAGGATGTAAATACCTATTGCTTGTCATGTAATCCTCAGTATTGAGAACACACTGGTTACTCCTCATTCCGATTCTGGTATAGATTTAAGAGTGAAGGACCAGAAGTCCCCCATCCTTCTCCCCTCCTTTAAAAGGAGAAGAAAGGGCCCCTTAGGAAGGCATTGGGTCATCTCAGGACGGGGACGGCCATGATGCTGCTCATCGGAAGGTGTCCAGTGGGTGATTGTGTCAGCAAGTTCTGAAGGGGACTGAGTTTGAAACCCGCCTTCACTACCTCCAGCTTCGGAATTTAGGCTAGTCTCTTGCGCTGTCTGGGCCTCCATTGCTTTATCTGTGAAAAAAGGACAGTGAAACCAGATCTCTGACCTCAAAGAAGACATGACTTTGAGTACTTCAAAGCATTATGCGCATGCCCCATGTTCTGGACAGCAGGAGCCCCTGTCCTCAGAGTAGCACAGGTGACAGCATGAGGCGATGCCTGCACTACCTGAGGACATGACTCCAGCATCTTCCCTGTGGCCACATTCATGGTTGTACCACTCGCTGTGGGGGCAGCTTGACAGGTAAGGCTCCCATCCCGAGCGGTACACTGCACCCAGGAGAATATTCCCTGAGCCCTGACCAAAGTGGGCCCCGCTCAGGGCTGACACTGAATGGCCACAGCCGAGCTGCTGACAGACGACATCTGTGTCCTGGGCGTCCCAGCTGTCATCACACACGGTGCCCGTAGCTTTGGTCCAGGACCTCCACCCCGCCCTGACAGCGGTCGCCTCCATCACCAGCCTCAAGGGAAAGCAGCATCAACACAGTGGATAGCCCTCGTCTTCACGGTTTCCATCCCTGGTTTTTACCACCCGGCACTGCCTGTTCTCAACCTTCCTCTGACTCCTGCCCCGTCTCCTTCACTGATTTTTCTCTCTCTCGGGACCACACGTATGGCTGCTCTCCCAAGCACTGTCTCAGCCCTCTTCTTACTCTATCTTTTCCCACTAAAGGACCTCATGTACTCTGAGAGCTCTCCAGGAAGAGGACCCCAAATCCGCCTCTCCAGGGCTGATCAGCCCTGACAACCCCAGTCTTAACCTCTACACCAACATTGTCAACGCCTCCTGGATACCCCAGCCCACCACCCCATGCTCAACACAGAATCTCTCCTCCATTTCAGTCAATGACATCACCGTGCTCCCCTTCAACTGTGCTGGAAATTAGCTTGTCATCTTTGATTATTCCTTCTCCTCACCTCTTAGATCCAACCTATTGCCAAGGTCGTCTTTCCTTTTATTCCCACCACCACTTTGTCAGGCTAGACCTTCCTTCTCTTGAACTTGGCCTACTCCGGGGCCTCCCACTGATCTCCCTACCCCTGCCCCTCCTTTCTCTAGTTCATTCACCTTCATTGATTCAACTAGCATTTGTGGAGGGCCTACTGGGTGCCCATGCCCATGCTGAGATGATTTATCTCTCTCCCTCAGACTGTCCCAAATTTTATCTTTAGAAAGTGCAGATATCTTCAAGTCACTTTCTGGCTCAAAACACCTCAAGGTACTGTCCACTCGCATCAGAATCAAGTCTAAGACAGCATTCGTCCAAGACTGGGCCTCGACCTACCCTCTTAAGCCACCTGTGAGGATCTTAGACAGCCTAAGTCTCACCATGAAGATGACCACACCTAGGGAGTCAGGAGGTACACTGTTCCTGCTTGACACGGTCCTGCTAAATCACTGATTATCCAAGGAAAACAGGCAGCAGGTCCTCAGGGATCCAGCCCAACATCCTGACAGAAGGAGCCAAATCCTCACTCTGGCTTTTCACCAGTTAGTTTGAGGGTCTGAGAGACTTGTGGTCAGGGAGTGACCAGAGAGGTTGGAATGGGATGGAAGATAAGGGGACAGGTGGTTGCTGTGTCTCTTGTAAGAGGAGGGGTCAGGTAAGGAGGGAGGGAAGGCAAATTGGACTGTCTCTGGGGTATTCCCAAGGTGCATTTGGACTTCGTCAGCCCTCCTTGCTGCCCCCTTCTGGTAACTCCTGAGAATGCGGAAGAGCTCTCAGTTTCCCTGCCTCAGCCTGGCACTTGCTGGGCGTCAATCCCCAGAAAGCTGCCTCTCGAGTCTCTCCCGGGCACGCTCTCAGCTCTCAGGGCGTGCTCTGAAAGGGCAGGGAGCGGCCTCAACTCATGGAGCCAAGAACGCTCTGGCAGGGTCAGCTGTGCTAAGTGAGCCCGTAAAGGACCCTGACATGTCAAATTCGGAGCAATGTCACACTCTCACAGTGGAGAAGAAGGAGAGACGGATACATTTAGTAAGAAGCACGCACAAAGGCAAAGG